CCACAACCCTCACGTACGCCACGCCTCAGGACGCTATTTTTGCCCGCTGGATAATCGTAGATTTTTTGTTCGTAGAAAACCATCGACTCACTTTTCCTGCCTGGCTTATCGTTCAGTTACGAGAGTAGCAATTAACGCCCAACCATTTAGTCTAAAGCCGATGCCCCAACTTTTTGTATTGTATCGACTGACCGTAAGAGTTTCACTTGCGCTGCACCTAATCTGCTAAAATTAAAAGTAAAAACAAGTGATGTAAGGCCAACGAAATGGATTATGTTTGGTGCGCCGTTACAGGATTGCCATGAAGAAAAAACGTCCATTTAGATTCAACCCAGTCGCTGAGCTTTATCTTACTCTATGAAATAAATTGCTTCTTTCGATTTAATTCGTCCTAACTACAGCGAAAAATATAACAGAAGAAAAACTACATACTTTTTTCTTTGCTCGGTACATCAGAGTAAGAAATGCGTCCTTGTTACTATGTTCGTTCTTATCGTTCATTGTTAAGTTCTAGGCTTAGGCGAATTTTTCGACACTCAGATTTCCAAGAGCTTTATTGAAGAGTCTTGTGAAACCATAGTTTCTGCAGGTGTGACATGGAAAATGTTAGCTATCTACTATAAATTTTGACTGACAAAAGTCAAACAAAATGCAAGCAAAATTAATTCCAAGTAAACCATAAAATTTTCACGTCAAATAATTATTAACGACTAATGAGTTGCAGCACCAAGTTAGCTCACTGAAATATTTCACCACTAAGACAATTATGAACTGCAACTGACAAACTGATGTCCAAATTCGGGCGGACGACTGAAGGTCTGAACTAAAGGAGCACGTGACGCGTACATGTGAAATTGCGATTACATTCATAAAGGCACTTTTTCAGCTTTTTTTCGATGATGTTCGTAGATATCGTAAACGTTTTTGATCGCCAATAGGTGAGCGAAATTTGAAAACGAAGTCGTACCTCACTTCGTCTTGCGAACTGCAACCTCGTTCCTTGGCTGCGTTGCGGCAATGAATTTATTCCTCGAACCTGAAGCGCGAACCAAAAATACACTTGAGAATTAACGTCAGCTTACCATCTACCATTTTAAGGGCAAATCATATGTTGGCTTCAATATTGACTAGGATTGTCGTCCTTGTCGTCGAGAGACTTAATAATCAACAAGGTTTTTGATTACTCCTCTTTTGAATTTCACGCGTTTTTTATCAGTTTGATTTTGATTCAGCAATCTTCTTGTATATATTTTAAAATAATTATCAGTGCCACGGATAGTTATTATTATAGACTAATATATTATATATTATTATAGACTGACATATTATTATGGACTCATGCCACGGAGAAAAAACAGAATATCTGTAGTTACATTCAAACCAAATTAAAATCACAGGCATACGCCCATTCGGAATACGTTTGGTTTTGAAATTCAGGTAATTTAGACGTCACGGTACATTCAAGATTAAGTTACCGACTTCTGAAGCGTAATGTCGCCATACCTACACAGTTGTTTTGACTACGAAATTGCGACACGACGGTCATTTTCCTTCGTAACTTCAGTGATCCTTCAATATGGCTCTCTTTCAGAAATGAAAGAGACCAATATTCTGCAAACGTACCGAACGGTCGGTTGCCCACATAACAGTTGTCGAGTCTGTGGAACTTGGCGACGGCGTGATAGGTCCAGATTACAATTTCCTCACACAAAATGTCAGGCCATTGTAAGCATTTTTGCTAGCAGTCGTGCGTTGGAATTAGAGGCTCTCTTGCTGATGATGCAGGCGAGGGAAATAGTCGAAATGTCACGTAAACTCTCGACCTAAAAGCAAAGATAATTATAAAGAAGGCGTGGTCTTGCAATTTAAAAAGCCTCTCGAACTAACTTTGTCGATGAATGAGTTAATGTGAAAGGCTTCCCTTTCCTCGCCGCGGTCTATTATAGAAACTGTAGCGCTATTAATTGCCTAGTCACCACCGTCATGATCTTGACAGAAGTAATGCAAAGTCCGACCTTCAACTCTCCTTCGCTGGTTTATCAGCAGGCGTTAAAGAGCATCAGATTCTGACCCTTCGAGTCGAGGGAGTTAACACTTTTTAGGATCGAGAAACATCAGACGCCATTAAGCAATGAACCTTCGAGTATCTATGAGCATGAGACCTTGGAAAAGAAAATATAAAATAAAAATGTCACGGTAAAAATCTGCAGCTTTTTATCGGGGACACCAAATACCCAAATCTCTTTGAACCTTGAGCTTTAAACACAACATTTCATCATAGCCACGATCATAGTTTAAGCCCATGAAACTTCCATTTGAACTATATTAAAGTCATTACTGAGACATATTAATATTTTTTAATTAAACTCATTCTTTGTCGCCAAAAATAAAAAATAAAATCAGTGAAAAATACGTTTAAATAGTTCAAAGCTACCAACTTTCGCGCATCGGTAGTGAAGCTAAACACAACGTCAATGAAGTGCTTTAGCTTTACGACTCATAAGGCGAGAGCCCAATTCTTATGCAAAATTAAGCCAATCAAGCCATAACAAACAATTTATAACCACACAATCAGACTACGTACACGAAACTCGACCGAGCAATCATCGTAAGCGTCCGGACTTTGTAATTATTTAACGGATCAACGGATTTCTGAATGATAAAGTAGCTTGTTCGAGCACCGTTATTATCCACGAAAATGTTATTTTGTGTTTTGAACTTTGACTTTAAGGTGTTCTGCTATTGCATTTTTTCCCCATGAAATTGCCTGGAGCTGGAAAGTCGCGAACCTAGAACCATCTAGATTTGGGCACAGTGCATGCATTAACAATTTGAAAATTACTTTCATTTCTGAAGCGTCTGGGATACGAATGAAACGAAACTACTTTTTTAAAACAAAATATGAATTGAGCGACTTATCTCCTGAACGCAGCAATCGCAGCAAAAAACAATACAAGTAATAGTCAATGCTTTAAGTTAGCATTTGCGGTCTCGAAATACTAGATTTTTTTCTCAAATTTTATGAGTTTTCGCTGTGGCAGTGGGAACGAGGCATTTCACTTATTTAATAATACAGAAAAGAGTCTCCGATGTTTTTTAAAAGTCAGAAATGAGGTTGGATTCTTCCAAGAACATTAAGAAAAACCAAGAAAAATCAATCACAAATTTGTCCAATCTACACATTAAATGAATGCACTTCCATTCTTGAAATAAAGAGCAGAATTAGACGCGCGAACTCATTGTTGTTTGTTACACATAGCATATTCCCAACACTGCTCTAATAACTGCAATTTACTTCCAAAACAAATCCCAACATTCCAGCAAGCATAATCACGCCTCGAGCTACGAAGCCAAGAGCTGTATGGCAACCAGACGTTATGCACCAAGCCGAAATTCGATCCCTCGCAATGCCCCTGATAAGGTAAATTTCAGGGCGCAGTTTGTAGGTCATCGCGAGTAATGCAGTCGCTTGGGAGGGGTGACTGCGATGGAAGGGGGAGACCAAAACCTGTAAGAGAAAACGCCGAGTGAGAGTTGCCTTCTCTCTCGGTCAACGCGGCCAACTTCCGCTTCGACTCGCCGCGCGGGCACCAGCTTACGCTCTCAGAACTTTGCACTGCCTCCAGGAAATTTTATATGAATTTTATCAATTTCTTACGACATTATTGGCTTGAATATATTTCACGAACCCTGGTTCATCAAAAGCTAGTTCCATGCAGATAAAAGAATTATTTTAATTAAATCGTTATTCCATTTGACACGGCACTTTAAATTTGTTGAAGTTTTCTCGGCAACCAGAAAATGATAATTGTAAATGAATAGTAAAAAAAGAACATATACGATAAAAGTTACACTGGTTACTGATTTAATGGCGAACCCCTTCCTCTCTGACTATTTGAATTAGATTAAAACTTTCGCGCTAATTTAGATGTAATTTAGCTGCTAGATTCAGAACACAAGTTTTCAACTAGACACGCATTCAATCAATCAATATTAACGCGACTCGTGTTAAAATTCGATAGGCAATAGCTACTATGCAATTCACTGCAGCCTCAATACAACAAAACATGGCCATGCACTGGCATTATGGTTCAAATGCAATTATTATTCAGGCTTCTCCTTGCCTTTCCAGCCCGCTCTGCTCTAACTCTCCCTCATCTCGACTCCTTCAAACACTACCAAATATTTCTTCAAGGTGCTCCTTGTAGAAGGGAACAGAGAATGAACAACTTCTCACGTAATGAACCGAAAGCGGCAAAGGCACCGAAGATTCGAAAAAACATTTTCCGACTATTTTCTATCACCAAGTGAAATTGAAACGGCAAACCACTTAAGATTCCAACTTGAATTTTCCATGTGATATTTTTTTTCTATTTTACGAGTTTATTCGAGTTAAAAAAGAAATGTAGGGGGAGACAAATTTTGTAGAAGAGAATGATCAAGAATTCCCTTGATAATCTGAAAATGCATCTACGATTGACATTCAGCCTACGATTGTATCCAAGAAAATGTCGCGACACTGGATACGTAAAAAATGACCTTTATTCTTTTCAAGTTATGGACTCGCCGAACATCTTACATTTTTACTTATCGTACAATTTATACTATCTTTTTAATTCAACGTTCCATGTACGAATTACTCAGTTAATTGAGAAAATTGCTTCTCAGGCTTTTAATTTTTACGGAACTAATTGTCAACGAATTTAGGCACATGCATTATTTACAGTGGAAACAAACTATCGGTCTTTATGAAAAATACAAGAATTAGGTTTAATTCTTTATGAGAAAAGGCTGATTCGTCCCTCCAAATTTGAAATTAAGATCGCATGAAACCAAGAATGCATAATTAAATAAGATCCACTCAACTGCAAAGAAGGTATCATAATTTTTTCTCATAAATTTCACGCCATGCAGGAACTGTACCCGAATAAAATAATTTAGTACACCAATACATAGAACTAATATTCTATTGGAATATAGAACTATGTTAGCTAACTCACTTGATATTTCAGAATATCATGCAGTGTGGGTATTCCAGGTGGCCCTGTTTCAGTTAAGTATCGTCAGTTTCTCCTTAAAGTCAACAAAAACTCGAGTGCCCAGTCACATCAGCATCATATCGACGGCACACCTCACTTGAAGACAGCCGCGCGCCAACTGACCTCAAATAAGCCGAGACTCTCATACGTGCTTGCCGGTTACAGCAGTAGGAGCTGCTAATGAGACACGGGCCCGAACTTCACCATTACGTCTCATTTTGCCGACCATTTATATACAAGTATAAAACAATTTTTTCATGAACTCGGAATGATTTATTTTGAAAGTTGTTTTTAATCTTGTAATAACTATTTAAAATGGAAGCCAGCCTATACATTCATTCATTTCTAATGACTTCTTCGACCAAGTATGAATATTTCCAGACGATGAATAATTATTTATTTTGTAATTTTACTTAAATCCCAAACTTAAATTTGAAAGACTGAAACTGTCCAGTGAATTTACTATGTGTAACCACTCCGAATTTTCTGAACGGAATCTTTGGATTATTTATTAGCGTATCCATTCTATGCATAACTTTATCTAATCGAAATCAATCATGACCCTGTTAGAAACGAAACTTTTTATCCACAAGACACCCATGCGAGCGTTGTCCAAATTTTCGCCCCGCTTCATTTTCACGTAGCTCTCCAAACGCAAAATTAGATTTGCGTGAAAAAGGTGAGTCAAGCGTTTAGCGCTTTAATCAAAAACCAAAAGGGCAAACAATGCCTGACAATGTTCGCACGAGCGTGTTGTGAATGAATAGGGAAGCCAGAGCGCTAAAAATTTGCTCCAAAAAATTCGTCCCATAAGTGTCGGACTGGTCGTATTTCATTGAAAACATTTCGGTGATCAGCTCCAACATTGGCTTAAAATGTCAAAATTACAGGGACAGTGGATTGAAAAAAATGTATATACAGTGAAGAGAGTATATTTAGGTAACGAATAAACGGGCGTAAAACCTATCAATTAACAATTCCGAGGCAATGAAGTGTGAGCGTTATTGAACAAGGTTTATGTTGTAAAAAATTGCAGGCTCTACATCAGCGAGGTATGAACTCTGTGAAACGCCTTGAGCAGGACAGGAGCGCAGTCATTGCCCACAACTTCAACGCAAATTCAACAATTAGCTCTAAGACAACGCTCCGCCTTAACAAGCACAGCTACACCCTGCTAGGAAGTCGCATTGCACGCTAAAAACACCGCAGGCCACAGCAGTTCCGAAACGGAGTGTTCCAGATTTTCGTTACCTCCTCAGACCTGTCTTTCGTTTCCTCCTCGATCTGTCACCCGACCAGGCCCGCGAGAGTCATGTAAAATTCCCTTCTCTAGGCCCACGAGGTTCGTTTTTTTTTACAAAGTAAACTTTTCACCACTTTGGTGTTTTACAAAGTTACTCTTTTACATCCCAGGTTAGGTCCAGTCAGCCAAGTTCTTTTTTTTTTTACAATATAAAAATGTGAAGAAATTTTACCGAACTTGACCTAACCTTATCTAACCCTAACGTCCGAATTCTCCATGTAAAATAACCCTATACGGTTTTTTTTACTTTGTAAAACCTTTATTTTATATGTAAAATCGACCTGTCGGGGTTTTTGAGGGTTCATACCAGATCCGACAGGTTACCAGAAATATGGTATTATTCCCATTAATTTCATACCAGAAAATACCACGTGACTTAAGCCACGGTTCAAAGCCATAGATATCGTCGTATATATCTGCAGCCTCTGCTCAAGTTAGTATAGTCTTCATGAATTTGCGTCCCCAGCATGACCCATGGTTAAACTATGTATTAGTTCAACCATGAGCATGACCTACCTCCATACTAACCCAGCCTCTTCACCTTGCTGCCGTCAATGACCGGGTCAAGTCCCATCTTGTCATGCTTCTCCGACTTGAAGAAGCCTATGAGGTTAGGGTCCAGCTGGGCTTGTCAGGGTTGAGACTCGGTATAAGGGTGGAGCTGGGGTTGAAAATCGACGAAGACTACATCAATTATTTGTGCAGTGGCTGCCCGAGGAGCGCATTCCGATGCCCGCTATCACACTGAACAGTGAAACATGCTTGTTTCTGATATCTTATGTGATTATATGTCTGATATATGATATCATATGTTTCGTATAACTTATTTCTCTAACTCGGTTCTTCTCCACTTTTAAATTTCGGTATCTCATAAGTTTTTACGACCAATTCCCAATGGCAAGGTGGCCCAGTGGTTAAAGTTTAGAGTACCAAGATTGGCGCAGAGAGGCGCGGGTTCGATCCCAGCTCTGTGCGCCAGTTTCTGGTCAGAATCGGCGAGGAGGCCGGGCGGTTAAGCGCAGCAGAATTGTAGCAGTGAGTTGCGAGTTCAAGCCCGCAAAATGCTGTGAATGTTCTGCGATGTTCAGAATCGGCGACAGGCCTACGACCTAATAAACGCTGAAACCGCTATATATTAATGGTCATTGGATCGATTATACTAGTATTTTTAAAGTTGTCGATAAAATGTGGTAAATTTAGTTGCCGTTTTCTTGGTCTTTGAATTCTTCTACTTATCATTTGACAATCTTAGACAATGTTGAATAAACAGCTGAAATTCGAATGAAAAAGCATTCAAATTGATTTTATTTGCAAGTTGAATTCTCAACGGAACGGATTGTATGTCTGACTCTGAAAAATCCGGCAGACCTCTGGGTGAGGAGTTACGAAGAAGGGTGTTACTTTTCTTAGTTTACTTATGGGCGATAGACGATTTGATCGTCCGTGGAAGATGCTTAAGAAGGCGAATCCCGTATCTCATTTAACCATTGATGTCCGTGATCTACGTAGCTTTGGTTGATTTGCAGGTGCAGCCGCCACCGCCAGCCGTGCAGCTAATGTCTACATTCTACAGAATGATTCTTATGCTGTATGCCTGCAGGTTAGGAGTCGGGACTGTCAGGTCCACTCAGTCAAGACCTCACTGGCCACTGCTGGCACTGCAGACTGCAGTCCTTGTCGGTCACGTCAAAGATTTACAGTGGATAAGCCTAACACCTTTATTCTCATGTAGGAAATTTTTACCAGCAAAATTTTTCATGACCTAATTTGAGAATTGAGACTTAGTTATGTTATTTGTACGCTTGTTTGTAGCTAGTTGTACCTACAACAAGTTTAAGGCTATAAGCTGTTTGTTTATATTGTAAATTATTTGTAACTACAGGTCTAGAACAAATATTATAGTGCAACATGAATGAGAAGTATTTTAGTTGGTTAAAGTCAGGTAAATAAGATGGATTGGATGCAAGTTTACTGTTTGCAAACAGCAGAGTTATTAGAATTTTTGTCCTTTTCTTTGCCTCTGGAAATTGGATGCAATGTAAATTCGAAAACTTTGTATTAATTATGCAAAGACTAATCATCTAATGTAGTACCTATAGAAAAATAACTCTGAAAACTATCTTAAAATTCTAACTAATCCGGTAGTTAGGAGAGTCCAATCTGTAAAGATGTAGTAGGGTTCAGCTATTGTTGGTCAGTTGATGTCAGGCTGCTGCTTGCTGATGATGCTGGTGGGTTCCTCCAGCATTATGCGAGTGATGGTTTGGTTCAGGCTGGAATTCTAAAATTCGTGGTTCACATAAAAAAAAGCTTTCCGCCTTAAAAAAAGGTTCCAGGCAACTAGAAACAGGTTTGCAGGCCATCAGTAATCGGCTTCGGTTACGGTAGCTATGATCGTATGAACGTCAAGTCAGGCAACACAGAGAAGGTCCCATGCAAGATTGTTAATTGCGCGCGTTACTCACAGTCTCATGTGTTCATTTGAGGCGGTCCCTTCTAGCTTTCTATCGCTGATTGGATTCCAGTGGCTGTGACGTTGCACACGTTCTAGCGATGATTGGATCCCTGTGACAGTACGTTGGACGCGTTCAAGTGTTGATTGGATTCTTGTGACTGTTACGTTGGACGCGTTCAAGCGTTGATTGGATTCTTGTTACTGTGATGATGCAAGCACTGTTTTTTTCAAAGAAACAGCTGTGGCATCTTGCAGAGACTCATCAGTGATGATGATCGACTGAAAGTGGAAGTGTGCTGGACGTTCCAGATTTTTAGGTCCTGCTTTCCAATTTGCCATGTTTACCAGTTAATATATTACCCCTCTGGATTTCCACACTGGTTTGGTTGCGAGCTGGTCTCACGTGGTCTCCCTCACATTTGAAGGGAGCTAAAGAGACAGCAATTTGGTGTGTTGGTTGTTAGTCCAATTTTTCTAATGTAGTCCAAATCATAAAGAAGTGTACAACCTTCTTTGATGCAAAATTTGTAGACCACACCGGCCTCTTGGGTAACTCCCATGTCTTTGCCGAGGCCATTGTTGCATTTAGTTTGGAGTTAGACATTGTTGTCAAGGGTATTGCAAAGCCTGTTGAATTGAAAAGCTTGAGATGAAGTTGCTTGTTTTTAATGCTTTCAGACCTGGACTGTTTGTGAGCTTGTTTCAGGCCATGGTCAGGAAGATGTGCCAGGTGCGCGGGAATTTATATTGTCATTTTAACGACCTGCGCGGTGCGCCGTACTATGCCGGTAAAAAAAAAGTGCCGTGCGCCAACAGCGCCGTACTTTTAGAAAGCTAAAATAGTTTAAATATGGACGCGCGGCAATGCAAATTACGTAATCACACTGACCGTACACACAAACGTGTATCCGCACTGTGTTGTGGTTGGATACGAGTTAACTAGATTGCTAACGCGTCAACTCAGGACTCAGGTTCTATAAGTCGGCACAGTAATGAATATTCATTCATAGATCACAATTCAATCGGTCATGAATTACAGAACTAAAGAAGGCAACATGGCTTTAGATGTGCCATCGGTGCCTTCTAATGAATGACTGCACTGGTTGCGGCAAGTAGGGTATGAACCTGTATGTCAACAGTACAATCCTCCCGGTGGCAAAATCGACACGATCTATACCTAATAACAATGCGCGTAAATGGACTATACAAATTAGGTCAATATGGCATAATTACAGAGCGTAATTATGCTATGTGATACATAATATGAATATATATATTTGCAAGATAAGTCAATGGTCTGTCGTTTATTTTTGCTTCATTTGAGCAATAATGGTTTCCAAATCTGGTGTGTGTTATGTTATGTCATGTGTACTTTGAATGTGCAAAAATTATAACTATCATATGAAAATTGTTACGTAGGTTATCATAGCACGAATCACAATAGAGTATCAAGATTGCAGCTGTGCCACTAGCCTTCATTGAATTATCCCGCCTTTTTTCTAAAATTCAATAATCTCTCCCAGCAAAGTTTGCGAAATTCATTAGCTGCATAAAATACTCTCTGCTGTGGTGTTCGAGTTCCGGTTGACATGAAAACTTGCGGTAAACTTGCGGTTCCAAAAATGGCGGGAAAGCTCTAATCGCGCCGCTCTGAAGGCAATAGCGGAATCGATGACCGTGATTTGCACAAACGCCTGCGCGAAAAAAATATAATTAGATTGATTTACGCGAGAAATTTCCCCGTTTATATACATCTTCCTGAGTGTGGGTTTCAGGTGGTAGGAGAAGTGGCCATTCCATCTCTCAGCTGCTGTTACTCCAATAACTCTAATATAATCTAAAACATGAAGTCTATAACTTTCTTTGAATTAAAGTTTATGGATTACACTGGTCTCTTGGGGAACTCTTGCTTTTCTGCAAGGCCATTGCTGCATATATAGTCAGATGGGGTAAGACAGGACTGAAATCACTAACAAGCCTGTAGCGTAGCATCTATACCATGAATAACTAAAAAACCCTAAACCTATCACAAAGTGTAGTTATGCAATAGGCTTCTAAGCTACAACTCAGACATTTTGCATCTAAGATCGTTTTCTGTACAGATTAAAAAAAGTGAGCTGGTCCCATCTTACCCCATTGGGGTAAGATGGGACCAGGCTGGGGTAAGGAAGGACCAACAGGTAATTCTTATGTTACAAGGTTTTTAATAAAAGTACAAATCTGATATTCAATGTTATCCATCTAGAAACACATTATTCGATTAAAAAACCACTTGTTACTGTTTTGTGTTGCGGGAAGTCAACTCTAATATCAGTCACATTGAAATTTTTGTCATGAGAAAACTTTGTTAAGCATAGTACTAATAGTGGGTTGGCTTTGGTTCATTGTAGAGCACTGCTAAATGCTTCATGAATATTCCATTACCTACTGTCATTGTCTGAAAAATGTATCAAATTAGTAATAAAAGCAATGGATAATAACTTAAGTGTCAGACGTCATGTGTTTTCTTGCTAACTGCATTTGTGATGCACTTCTTCAAACATAGCTCATGCCCTCTCACAGAGTTGTGATCATAATTATTTTTCATGTTTCACACAGTGATTTTTCCCCCAGCCAATCTTGCACATAGTTCTGCAGCTCACTAATGGGAATAGACATCCCTATTTTCTATATCCCTTTGATGCAATTTAAAATAGTGCAATAAATTTCTCTAATTAAAAAAGCTAACAAGTTATAATGAAGTTTGAGCAAAAGATAAAAATTTTGACCAAAATACTCCATGTACTACACAGTAATAGGTATATTCATTTAAAAACTATTTTTGATAAACTGTAGGGTAATAGAGGACCATTTGTGGGGTAAGACAGGACCATTTGTGTGGTAAAACAGAAACATTTAGTGGTCCCGTCTTACCCCATGTCCGGTCCTTTTTTCCTCCATTTTAGAATACATATCAGGCAGTCATGGTAGCAGGTAGGAATGCCTAGTATGCCTAAAAGGTTGCCTATTACTTGAGGTTACCTGCCTACATCCACAAACCTGGCCAAAAAAATTTTTGTCTTTAGACAGAGCTTATTTCCTGAACAGGGTTAACTATTTTGTGACCCTTCTTTACATAGGTTTTATTTAAAAATTAGCCAGAAATTCATTATTTGCAGAAGAGGGTTGCCACAAACACTGAAATGACAGGCAATGATTGTTCTAACATATTCTTTTGTCAAAATGAATTCAGTGCAATTAGAATGCATGCCATGGGCTGGTCCTTTCTTACCCCATGAAGGCTGCAGTCCTGTCTTACCCCATTTGACTATACCTATTCTGGGGTTTGATGTTGTTGTCTAGGGTGTCATGAAGCCTGTTGAATTCATCAATGATCTTGAGATGAAGTCACTTATTTGTAATACTTCAACACCTGTTCTGGTTGTGAGCTTGTCTCTGGTGGCAGAAGAAAGGGCTGTTAAATTTCATAGTTGTTAGTGCAATTGTTCGAATGTAATCCAAATAATGAAATAGTCTAATACCTTTGAAGCAAAATTTACAGATTACACTGGCCTCTTGGAGAACTCCCACTTTTTTGCAGTGGCCATTGCTCCATATTGTCCAGGGTTTAACATTTTTGTCAAGGGTGTCAGAGCTGGTTTAATTCATTGATGAAGTTGCTCAATTTTAATACTTTAAGACCATTTCAGATACGTACTTTTTTAAGTCACTCGCATATTGCTGGAGAAACCCACCAGCATCGTCATCAAGCAGTGGCCCGTCATCAACCAACCAACGATAGCTGAACCCCTCATCTCTACGGATCGAACTCCAACTTTTTATCTCCTAACTACCTGATTTATCTGAACTTTGATATGGCTTTCAGTTATTTTATGGTTCAAAATTCAACTGTTGCATCCTATTTACGTATGTTATGTAGGTACTTATTTCCACCAAAATTTCAATATTTAATGCTTCTTGTTACTTTAAAATTACTTTTTGTTGCATTCAAAACTTTGTTAATAATCTAAAACCACTTCCTGAAACATGCCTATTGATCTACCAACATCATATGAAGAATTCTTCTCCTGTCTGATAATTTAATTCATCAAATTCTCTGTTCATTAAAAGCATGCATATAAAGAAATAGGTATATATGTAGGTACATAAATTGGATCTAAACATTTTTTATTTGTTAACTATTGTGTGAATCAACTTCTCATACCATACCATATATGTTATTTCCAATGTATACCGTATCGGCGTATCTTAACAAAATAATACTTTTTTCTCTCAAGTAGCCAAAAACATGGGTAACAATGTTGCACTGGAGACAAGTGTGAGGTTTTTCAATTGCAGGAGCAGTCACAGAATGGTCATTTTAATTTATAAAATTGGAAAATTAAGTTGGACGAATTATTATTATAAGCTGACAAACTCGGAAATTAATTTTTGGAAACCCTGGCTTTGTTAAACCCCATGCAATGTAGCTCATGGTATTGCCATGTTGAACTAAATTTCTCACGTATGTGTGGGCAATGTGATATCAGCAGAGTCTTGGTCATAAATTTTGCCTGATAAAAAGCCTTGGGACATTACAGCTACGGTAATTTAATCTGAAGACTGGTTACATGCATTAGCAAGATAGCAATTCAGAAGCCAGCTGCTCTTCAAAATGATCTCCACATTTCTCACATTGCCTCTATTTCATTAAAAACAAATAGAAGTATTTATCAGATTGATATAAAAAAATATCTTCCAGCAATAGATATCTATATAGTTTCTTGTCAGTAGGCTCTTGCCTCAATGTTATCCTCTTTTAAACTATTATATATAGTAAATATTGTCAATGACACTATAAACGTATGTTTTCTTCCAGAAAGTGTGAACATTTTTTCAATTATGTTAGGCGCCAGAGGCCTCAGTCAATTACTGAGAGCTGCACCTGCACTCAGAAGAAGCCTTCATGTTTCTGCACCTAAAAATGGAGGAGTGTAAGTGTGAATTTTCTCTTTATCTGGAGCACATTTGAACCATTTATCATGACATTGTGAAAATTGGCAATATTCAATTAATTTTTTATAGAATGTTTGTTTTGGAAATAACTCCAAATCTACATTAAAAATTTTAGTATTGAAAAGTTTGAAAATATATGTATATACTTTTGGCATGCAAAGGGCGTGGCTGAGGTTCATCAGCAAAGGGGAAGATAAGCAAAGGCCGGAGGGAAGGTCAAGAATGTTGCGGCCTCCACGGGACTTGCGCAGAGAATAGTTTGGTCCAGAAAAATCTAGTCATTGCTAAATCGATCTTGAGAGTGAATGTTATTTTGGAGGGCTACTCCCCATTCAAAAACCAAGTGCCGGCAAGAGTTAGGACTATTGGAGACTTTCCAGGGCAGGCCCGAGGCTGTTCAACACCTAGCAGAAAGAGCTGAGAGGAGCTTCAGTTCATCACTGACACATTCAAGAGAAGCAGATGCATTCTTGAGCTCGATCCCGGATACTTGCCACTACCCTCGGCAAGAACTGTTATAGAACTATTATATAATCACTACGGAACTTATTTATAACAGTTATATCCAGGGCAACCTAGGGGAACATGCTTTATTGCACGTATTTCTACTGGGAGCCACAAGCAACAGCATTTTGCATCATTTGGCTCAAATGCGGATAGATGCACGGTTGTCATTTTCAGCATTAACTCTGGGATCTTGTGGGGATACGATCTGCCTGTTGATGGCTTAGGTAAAGAGAATGACAACAGCGGCGCATCAGCATGACCATGAACAACGACTTGAGTGAGAGAAACGGCTTAGTCAAGAACTTGGGAAGGGTTGGGCAATGGATGTGTGTAAGCTCAGAGTAGAGCCACCCATGGCTTGATTTTAGGGCGAAGTTACTGGGAGGAGGCAAAGAGGGCTAGGTCGTCAGCGTAGATGTATGGCAATACAGAGGCTGAGACTTGACAATTGGAGAAATGAAGTGATTTTGCAGTGCAAGGACGATGACTGCCCCTTGGAGCACTGCCTGTGCGGCTCTGAATCGAGATCAAACCCTCTGGTAATGGTAGGATGCCAGTCTTACTCTACTTGAGGAAAGCGTACCTCCTACCTTCCTCTTTGCTGGCTATATTGCCAGGTGCAATGTAGCCAGCAAAACGGACTGTGGTGAAGACCGGAGTCTGCAACCACGGAGAAATGGAAATCATGGTCGACAGTGTCGACGCTCGTGGGAAATCGACATGTGACACAGTACTGGCGAGTGGGTCGTCACTAGTTGATATTGGTTGGTGATTCACACATTGAAGATATGTAGGGCAGTGGTAGAAACTCTGGTCTTAAGATGGTCCGAGCTTGGTGATGGGGGATAGTCAGGGAGTTATTAAAAATGGTCGTGATGAAGGCAGGGAAACGATATGTTAGAATGGTAGGTACGAAATAGGCTTATGTGTTGTTGAAGTGGACGGTGGTGAGGTTGAAGTGGATAGGCTGGCTTGGTGGCGGTTTCAATGCTTGGAAGATCTTGTGCGCAATCTAGCAACGTCATGTCTCCAAATCATGAGCCATACGAGGACTTGAAAATCTGGTTGATAGGTATTCGGCGAGGACTTGACAATCTAGTTTATATCTGATGTCGGGGATATTAGACTGTGAGAAGTCCTTCCAAAAGATGGAGTGGATAAGATTTCTTGTCACCATCATCCGGATACTTCTCAGTTAGGTACCTCACTCCATGCTAGGTGGGGACGGAAACCCTTGCAAGTGAGGCCTGAACCGCGGTTGCGAAGACAGAAAAGTTGGCGTTATGTAAATTGCGAAACTGGGGCAGTAGCGAAGTACGGAAGCAAATCAGAATGACCGAAATTCAGTGCGACGTACGAGGCTACGGCTGTCAATGAGAAATTGCGTGCTGATGATGGTTAGATCCATCAAAGAAGCAAGTCTATGGGTCATATACGCGGGTCGGTGATCTTTGAGGCTGTCGAAGGAGAACAATAGCCCCTCTCATTGCTGCTCTCAGGTCGTTTGAGGAGTAACCAGGACGCGGTGGGCGTCAAAATCGCCCATCTCTTTATGACGTGTGCGTGGCTGCGGAATATCCTGTAGGAAGTGACAGTTTGGTGGAAGGTGCAGGTTAACGACACACAGAGTAGCGAATATAAGTGACATTGGGAACAAAAAGGCGGTAGGCAGAATTTTTAGATCCGAACTTAAGTGATCAAAAACACGTCTCAATAGTTGAGGCACAAGGCGAAAAAAAATGTACAGCTATGATCTCGCAATTAATTTTTTTCTGTCGTTTTAATTGAAGAAACTTACACTTATATTGATACATTTCCAGGACGGTGTATCGCAGTCCTCCTGCACATCCACCCAAGAAAAATCTCATCGCGGCCGAGCTCCTTGGTGGCTTCGTGTGGTTCTGGATCTTTTACCGTTTCTTCAATGATTATGAAATGCTCACCGTAAGTACTCGTTGAATAATAGTTATCTTAATGCCTGTATTTTATCGCGCCAATCCAATTTTTTATCGCTCCAATTGTCTGCTGCTTTTTGATTATCTACCCGATTTTTCTATTTATTACATTATTTTCGTGTTGCAGTATTGATATAATGAAATGTCAGTGTATAAAACGCTTTCGCTGAAAGCAATTCCTACGTTTAAAAGCGCATCACAGCACTTGTTGTCCGTTTCAGAATGAATGGCCGTATCCAGACCTGTCGCAGTGGAGTGATGAAGAGCTGGGGATCCCCCCTCTTGATGAAGACGATTGAGCTTACAGAGAAGCGTTCATAAGCCATCTCTTTGTATTATACATATAAATTTTAAATGAAAAATGATAAACCATCTCTTCTCATTCACAGATTTGGTACAAAATTTCAGAGATAAACTGCAATACAGTAACTGTGTAAATTGGAAAATATATACCTATGTAGGTTTTGTATGGTCTGCTATTGTACAAAAAAAACTATAATATACCACTCACAGTAGACCAGTTTAATACATCATAAATTGTTTGCTATAAGCTTTAACACGGTTACTAAACAAACACGTCTCGAAATTTTGGTCACGTGCAAAAAATTTTACCGTATATTTCTAGCTGAAATGAATGAAATTTGCTTAAAACTACGCTTGGGATACTTCATAAGCTTTCATTTTCGTGCTTCCATATTATGAAAGGGAACCAACAAAATTTATTCTGCGTCAACGTTACGTGAACCAAGCTTTTATCTCACTGAACCAGGCAAATGAGAAGCTTAACGAGCTAAGTACATGTTTATATCTTTGGTTAATATGAAAAGTCTATAACAATGCACGCTAACTGATAACAAAGGATAATTATTCGTGATATTTAATGGTATTGAAATAGGTAAAATAAAAAAATTCTAATCTGAAAGTTTCGTTAGGCAGACCTGGATTTTGGTAAATATAATATTTTTTGTAACTACTCCACTGTAAAATGACGTTTTGAGTGGAAATGATAAATTCTATTTCGAGCCATTTAAAAAAGCGAGATATACGGTAATCTGGAACCAAATCCTTACACTACAGTAAGTGTACCTACGCAACAAGTAATTAAATTTTGAGATAGCACGAATAATTTAATCCTCTGCAAATGCAGTGCCTTTGTATATGCAGCCCTTGCATGCAAGCGAACCACAGAAAATTCAATCCTACCTTGCCAAATCCACTGAGAATATAAAAATAGGTATACGAGTACACTGTAGGATAACTCTTTTGCCTAGAAACTTGACTGAAAACAGGTATTCCTAGAAATATTCATAATTTGTGAATACGTTCATGGTCCTTGAAGTCAGACAAAGATGAAAGATTCTTCCACCAGACAGGCAAGAAATTGCGGCAAATAAGATTGAACCATGGAGTGGTGGGTACATCATTCTTTTTCAATCCCATCATGAAGTCGTTGAAGCGCTTTTGTGACACATACTCGACTCTTTGCACTTCATCTGGGTTTGGTTTCAGCTCGAGGTCTTTTTGCAGTACAAATATGTAGTCGATTTCGTGTTCTGCAAACTGACTGCCATCCACTCGACCGTTGTACCAAATGCGTGTCAGATACTGAAACTCGTCCAGTGATACCTGCCGTTATGGGTACTGTAAAATTTACTAGGTAAATACAATTTGAATTGCAATAAGGTACTGCTAACATCACATCTTTTATGAGATACTGGAAGCAACGAATATTTTTATATCCAATTTCCTAGAAGAATGCAGAAATAAGTACCGTAAAATGGGGTAACTTAGACCACTTTCTTTTTTATAAATGATGCCATTTTTTTATTAGCTAAATTAAACTTGAATTGAAACATGCAAAATACAGGTCTATACTCTAGCTTCACTCACCATAAATTGCTGGCTCCTGCCTCTCATAGTCTTTATGTAATCTCAAAAAAAGTAATGGTCTTTGTTACCCCAGCTCCTGGGGTAACTTAGACCGGGTGGTAAAATCAATTATATTTTTTGGAAAAATAACTCCAAATAACTCCAGGTTTTGGTGCATTGTAGTAGAACTCTACTATTGTGTTATGTAGCCTCAGTATTAGGCCTTTAATGCCCATTGACAAAATTTTTCTATGTCAACTAGTTTTTGAGTTGTGGGGGTTTTTGTTAAAAAAACGAAAAGTGGTCTAAGTTACCCCGCCGGTCTAAGTTACCCCATTTTACGGTAGGTGAACGCACATCGGAGGGAGGCACCAATTTAATGAGGTTAACTATCTTCTGCAAAGAGCAGGCAATGAACATTGCAGAATTTTTAGCATTTATTCACTCTTTCGGATTTAAATTACTGTATCTTAAAATTAATCACTGAAAATATCTAGTATGTGGTCTAATAAATATCTATGTGGTGGTCTAATTTGTTATTCAGATAATAAGCACAAATTAAACGAAACTCTCAAATTTAGTTTCACAATAGTCCAAATATTATCAAATTCGTTCCCTCTGGGGAAACGAGATGAACATTTCAAAGCTACAATCTCTCACTTGGTCATGGGCGATACCAAGCTCAAATTCAAGGCGACGTCTTGCTGCAACCATGGCGCCTTCAACTCCATTTTTCTCCACCTCTAAGCTCAACGGGTGTGAACAGCAACTGTTGGTGAAGTGTCCAGGAAATGTCACCTGCAAATTAGGAACAGTTGAGGTTTTTCTATAGTCAACTTGTATCAGGAATATTATATCATTTCTATAAACAATTTGAATTATTTGGATTTGATAATTTGAGAGAAACTAAAAAAAGTGATTTGAAATTCTTGTGAATTTGAAATAATCTATATTTTCCTCAAATAGCGACTTACTTGTATAAATTTTTTATTGAATATCATATAGTAATATGTGGGTGATTCAAGAGTGTTAAAATGATTAATTTCATTTTGATTATTTGATCCCAGATTCCCACTTAAACTTTTTTGGACATAGATAAGCGTTAAATTCAAATCTTCACGATTTTATTGTAACTATGAAAGGTGTCATTTGAATACAGTAGGTATTATTTTTAACTACAATAATATGAACTGTAGATTCCATATTCAGTACAATGATAAGCAATTTTATTCATTAATATAAAATTAACTTTTTGAGAAGAGCGTTGTTGCAAGAGTAGTTCTCCTTGTGTGTTGAAGAGAAAGATGCTGAAAGCCCTGTGCAGGGGAGAAGACTTGGTGACTGCATCCCACTTGTGGCAGTCTAGTTTGCTGGCAGCTCCAATGATCTGGTCCAGTTCATTCACCAAGATGCATTGTTCCCTCAACAGAGGAGTGAGCTGGGCTTCCTGCACCTGATCCAAGATTACTGTGCTCTGTAATAGAGTTGGTTTAGAAATATCATGTGATTATTTCAGAAATTAATCATTCAATAGTATAATGGATGATAAAATTTTATGCCTAACAAATATGCTCAGGTACAAGAAAAATATTATACTCGAATTCTTATTTTGATCTTTTGAAATGTTCTAGGTTAAGAACATAAATAATTAAGCAAGAGCTTTTCAACAGAGCAAGGGAGTGATTATAATCAGTACCTACCATGATTGGAAAACAATGACTCAGATTCTGTTGCATGATTTTCAAATCCCTACTTAAAAAACACAAATTTGATTAACTTTGTCATATTTTTACCATGGATATTATTCAAATATGTTGTGCACCCCTATAAACTGTGCACTGCCCCCTGCCAATTCACAGTTGATGTACAGCATCAGCATATACTGTACACCCAATGCAGGGAGGAAGTATATTTATAACTTTTTTGGAATTCTGTGACCATCTGCTTTCTAGAATTCCACCATGCCTGAGTTAGCAATTATGGCTTTCAGTTCATCCTGACGTATAAATGAAAAAACGCCTCAGGTGACAAGTTCTACAAAGTTATGAGATAAGTTTTCAATTTTACAAGCTGTAAATTGTAAAACTTTTACCAGCACACTTCAGTTTTAAAGTCATCTACTTTCTTCTACTCTTATCATTTGTTGCTTGAAATTTGAATGTTCTAGTTAACATCTCTACATTTAGATGCAAAAAAAAAAAATATATGTTGTCAGTTGGTCAAGTTGATAGCAATGCCAGTTGTTAAAGAGCAGACTTATCTAGAAATAGTGGGTAAAACAATATTTCAATTGGTTAAATTTGAAAATTGTAAGAAAAAATGTTCTTTTTATTTCTTAATCTTCACAGAATAAATTAGGCAAAGGTATTAGAATGGGTAAAATTTTCCACATGCATAGACTTGATTGGGTCATTCATGGGTAGCTTTTGCCCATTTTTTTCAGTTTGGCAATTAAATTCAGAAAATTATGTCAACTATAAAAAACATTTTCAATATTCTACTTTGACCAATGCAGCTGCTGCACTGCAGTGTGTGTCCAGACTCCAGATAGTCCCAGTGTGAATTGGCAAGCAAAACATCTGTTTGGTGTCACTTTGGTCCAAATTCCAACTTCCAAACATTAAAATGATTTTATAAAAACTTCCTTTGAAATATTCCTAAGCCCTAAGGCAAATTTTCATGTTCTAGAAACTTCATTAGCTAGTTTTTAATCTCTTGATGATTTTTCATGATCAAGGCAGGAAAAAATAAATTTAACAAAATAATTGATGTTTAACTCCTGCATCAATGATGCTAATAATGAATAAGATACCTATAGCACTCAATTCTAAAACAGCTGCCTTTATCTATCTTTAATAGAAATGATTTATAATGTACAGTTTGTAAACCAAACTAATGCTTTATACTTTATAGCAAAATTGAAATCATTGAACTTTGAGAGTGAAACAGCTGTAAACTTCCTATGTAATATTATAATGTAATCCAATTCTATTTATTCTTATAACTTATGATGACTAGTATTATACTATTATAGGGTCTTTAGTAACTCTCAGCGTCAACTAGGTATGTCGTAGGTGCAGCATCTGAAAAGTGGCAACTTCTGTGTCATTGACGCTGACGGTACATCAATCAATGTCATTCATTTGATCATTTTGACGCAAATGAAACTCGACTTCAACTGTAACATTTAGCATTAATTACTTAGATACTTACCATCAATGCATGGCTGTTTATTCGAGGAACGAAACTGGTGCGAAGAGCACGTTTTGCAATACTTTGAAGCAGTTGCATAGCATCTATTTTTGACGATATAGTATTCTTAAGCTTTTCTCTACACGTCTCCTAAAGTTTCAACCATGGATGCGGGCAGCTGGCGCTCTGAGTCGGAGCCTCACCGAGTCGGAGGCAGTGTTGATGTCGGCAGGCTGTCCAAATTTAACAATTTACTTTTCCGCTTCGTTGCATTTGATTTTATAGAAGTGATTTACAGGTTGCTTATGGGATTTTGACAGCCCTTACGTGAGAAGTTCACCATTGTTTTTAAATTTAGTGGAATTTGAACTTGCCTAGAAGCAAATTTTTTATTTATCATTCCAGAGTAAAACAACGTGCTTAGTTCAATATAAATTTTTTAATGACGCGAGCACAGTGCCCTTGAAGATTTGAACTGCAATTATTGACACTAATGACGAAAAGGACGTATTATCCACGCTTCTTTGGATATAGAAATTGTATTGGGTTTGGTTATTCAAGCGTCTAGGGGCAGGGTGGCCCAGTGGGTAAAGTTCAGAGTACCAAGATTGGAGCAGATAGGTGCATCCATGGATAGGTGTGGGTTCGATCCCAGCTATGTGCGACAGTTTCTGTTCAGAAGCGGCGTGGAAGCCGGGCGGTTAAGCGAAGCAAAAATTGGAGCAGCAAGTTGCGTGTTCGAGACCGCAATAGTCTGTAAATGTTCTGCGATGGTAATAATCGGCGATGGGTCAACGGCCTTATAAACACTGGAACCGCTTTTATTTATTAATATTGTCATCAGGTACTCGCAATGTTCGATAGATCTGGAATTTTATTTGTTGCACGCGAGGTCTTGTGATCCGTGAGTAAAATCGAAAATATTTCAATTCAATCTTGGAATACTTTAAATTTAGATTTAACAAGCAAATCCAATTTTTGTTATATATTTTCCTTCAATTAGCCTCTGCTTAGTTTAGAAATGATCAAAAAAGTTAAAAAAAAAACATTTGAAACAGAGTTTCTCAAGTTTCAAAGATTATGAATCAATTTAAGCATCGAGACTGTCTGCTAATAAGGCTGTAAAAATGACTAGGACCAGTAAAGTAATAAGTGGCCATTTGCTCTGCAGAGGAAAAGAGCTGTGGAATAAGGATGCATGTGCACCTTGATGCTGCGTGTGCAGTTCTTGGTTATATTTACTCAGTGTAGAAGACTGGCGGTCACCCAACTAATGACGCCTCAGGCTTGCCAAGAACTGAGTCTCCTTCAGTAGCCCTCTCGCTTTGTGCTCTGCATCACTGCAGGCTGGGCAGTGCAGCCAACTTTGTAATGCAGTGAGAGTTATGAAGTCGTCTCGTCAGTCTTGTGATTTTAGTTGGGTCCGAAATTCTTGTTATTCGTTCCCCTATGAATGTTTGATTTGATAGGTGACATTAATGCTGACAAATATTTTGACACATTTTGACTTTTTTTAAACATAATTAACAAGAGACGGTCAGCTTTTTTAGGACGATTTTTTAGGCTTCGAAAAAGTATATTTACTTTATCTTGCCTCAAAATACCATACAAATTTCATGATTACGGTCACTGCATCGGTTTTAAACTGTTTCAGCCCGTTAGATGCTGTTATTTGGTTCCATTTAAATTGCATTATTTTTTCACGTAATGCAAAATTTATAGTGTATTTTATAACAATTAATCTTTTAGTTAAGGAAAAAAGTAGCGCCCTAAATTATTTAATTCATTTGGATTGTACAAATGATAAAATTCATGGATCTATTTTTTTGTGCATCAATTACACTATTTTGGCATAATCTTAAGGATGCAAAAATTGATTTCTCTACTGCTTACGTTTACCTATGCGACCTTGAAACCCTGCAACAATATAATGTAGGCCTCAGCGAACCATATTGAACTTACGCTTGAGTCTCTTTTTTATATTTAATTTAAAGTTCGGTGGTGGACCGGATGTTGTGGAGGTTCTGTGTTCCCCAGTACACAGGGAGTTGGGGGCCTGGCTGCGCGCCACGGCGCTATGGGTTATCGCTTAATAAACGCTGCCTGCTCGCCTACTTAACGTCATCACACGCTGTTTATATACCGCGAGAAAACAGCTTACGTCACCTCCTTCGGAGCGGGAACCCCGTCTAGCACTGATCATTCACAATCTGTTCAGAATATAATGCCATCAGAGGTGCATAACGCCCGCTTGATAATGCGAACCTGTCTAGAATATAATGCCATTACAGGTGCATAACGCCCGCTTGATAATGCGAACCTGTCTAAAATATAATGCCATTACAGGTGCATAACGCCCGCTTGATAGTGCGAACCTGTCTAGAATATAATCCATCACAGGTGCATAACGCCCGCTTGATAGTGCGAACCTGTCTAGAATATAATGCCATTACAGGTGCACAACGCCTGCTTGAAAGTGTGAACCTGTCTAGAAATACTGCACTCAGTGAAGCACAACGTATAAATAATAGCTTGAACCTACCTAGAATATAGTGCCTTAACAGGAACACAACTCCTGTTTGTAAAATTATATATATATATATATTTTTTAAAGTTATAAGTGTGGAGTAGAGAGATCTAACCATTAGTATTTCCTACCGAGCAACGAAATCACCGCAATAACGACATTTGAATTATGATCAATGCCGAAAGTCTACCCATCAAGTAAATTAAATATAACCATGCATATAACTTCATTTGGCATGAATTCATAAGCTGTCTCATTATAATATATAGGGTGGGTGATTATTGCCCAGCTTATAATTATCATTGCCACAGAAGCCAAGACTGATAAATATATTTACATTTCGAAATATTAGCTACTGACTCTTTAAGCCAAAGAGTTAGTTATATAAGTAAACTGAAAAATTGTTCATAAATGGATTATCTGATTGATTATTTGATAAATTGATTATTACCCTAATCGCAAATTAAGTTACGCACAAAACACTGCCGAAAAATTCATTTTTGTCTTTTTGAAAAGCAACATGAACTAAAAGAACTTTAATTTCGTTTTAACTTTTGCAATTAGATAGGCATTACGTGACCAACATCGCATTACAGACAAACATCCATGCTACCTGCGCCTCGAACGCACTCCTGCAGACTGCGCAATGTGCATGACAACAACATGCTGCCTGCCTTGTGATAGTTGTCTACCATCCTCGTTATTCTTTCTATTGACATGCCATAAATCTTTTGTACACACTGTGTTAACGTTCAATGTAATCTGATCAATGATACGATCGTAAGCCATTCAACCGAGTATGTTCCAGTTCAATTGTTAATCTCTTGATGATAGGTATGAACAAATATATGTAAATAGATTATGGTGTCTGCCTTTAGATAGCCTAATACTCCGTCTGACATACAATAATATAGAAATGTTATGTTGTAACCTTATTTTTTAGCCGTTTAGCATAGGAATACAATAACGTAAACGAAAAAAATAATAAACGAGATCACTTGAAATCTATCTATCCTAATGATGGAAAACTTTCCGCGCCTGTTTCTCTTACGAACATCTTTCAAAAAATCTGTTATTTATATTACAAAATTGTAGTCCATTCGTTGGCATTCGTCGTGATTAAGAGCGAAGATACTTTCCTATAATTGGAAAATACGTGTTTAGCCTAGCTATTCTCTTTTGATCTTCAGTTACACTAATTAGGTCTTTCGTCGTCAAAGACTGCCGCCTGAGACTTCTGCATCGCTGAAGCAAAGGACATGACGACCGTAAGTTTCTAATGCCGGAAAGTTTACTAGGAATAAGTCTCGCCGACAGCGTGAATGTTTTCGAGGTTCAATTTTTTTAAAACTTTTAGACGCGCCTTGTTTATTCTCGATGCAGAACTGAGAATCATTTGTCTCATTTCACTAATTTCACAATTTTGGTTCATTGCTTTTTCGAATAAATTTGCCTAATGAAGGCTACAATAAAAAATTGGTTCGAAGAAATATTCAAAGTGTACAGAATTTTTGTTCATTTATTTCTAAAAAATTCCATGTGCCGACTAAACTTTTGTGGTGAAACTCAATATTAGTACTAATTGATATTAAATTGAAATCAATACTAATTAATTTTTCACTACAAAGAATCTACTTCAATCCATAATTTAACTCATAACTTTGTTTCTACAAGAACGGTAACAATTTTTATTTGGAAAATTCGTTGCAGGCAAATTTAAAGCGAAGAGCGTCAGTTTTTTTAAGGAGCGATAATGTTTCAGAAGAAGCTTATGATTCATCGGAGAGGTCCATGAGTCACAGGAAACCAAACCGTATTTTTCTCTGCGTCAGGACATCACCCAAGTGGTCGCAGACATCCGCAAAGGGGATAAAATTGGCATCCTCGTGTTCTTGCACAATGGCGGCGATGCCAATGCTCGAAACAACATGGGATGGACGTTGCTGCACATCGCCTGTTTTGAGGGCAAAACGGAAATCGTACAAATTCTACTCGACAACGGCGCTCAGGTGAGCTATACAACACCAGAAGCACTGTATCCATCGGGCGTGGCGGCTGCTGCCTCGATCGCAGTTTTCGTTCGGAACTTAGAAATATTTTGCAGAAAGCCTCAAGTTAACAGGTATTGTTTTAAACATTGTGCAGAATCGATTCCAATAATGAAGAAAAGATGGTCATTTTTAAATAAAAAGAACACATAAACTCTTTCAAAAACCTTTCTTCAGAAAAACTTGCGCACTCAAGGTGTGATGCTGTGTTTTTTGCTGCACGTATGATGCCGGAACTGAGACATAAGAGAAACAGAAGGAAGGTTTTAATTGCCATCTGTATTAGTGATAGCTATGGAAATAATATTATTTTACGAACGTTAATTTCTCATTCAGAGAGGCTCCAACAAAATTGTACTCGGTTTCCTTGACTTCAATGAGTCTCAAGTGATTTCTGTGGGCACGGCCAAGACTCGCCTGTCATAGGATCGTGTATTTCTGTCGCTCAGCACGTGACAGTTTAGCCGAGACATAACGCGCAGTAGAAGAGAAACTTCAACATAATAAGAAACTTCTTCATTACGACCTTGTTTTCCTCGTCTGCCATTATATTAGTGATTTTCTCTCACCTTGCCTAAATAATTATTGTGGATGCAAGCACGATGATAAATGAATTTACCTGTTTGACTATCAAACGGCAATGAAAGAATCAGCATGTGTCAAAAAAATAGAATTTACTTCGAATTGGAATTGTGTGTTGTTTACGTCCTCGAGTTGATTTTCCACTTTTTTTATTTCCGTTGTAATCACTGTAGTGCGAATCATTGGCAAGTAAGTGAGACAAATCACATCCAAAAATATAAAT